CAATGATGTAAGTAATGGGAGATGAAAGTGTCAGGTATAGATCACACATCAGCCTGTAAGACCTCCTTCAATGGCTGGCAAAGAAAACAGGCAGGAAAGTAGGTGATATGCTGAACCTGATGAGAGAAGATGCAAAAAATATATGGGCAGACTCACCCAGAGAGGAATATACAAGAAGGATAAGCTGGTGAACCCAACCAGTTAAAGTGGAAGAGGATAAGTCTCAAGAGGAGGAGGTCTTCCATGGTAAAAACAGCAATGGCACAGTCCACGAAAAGAGACAGTCAATAAAGGACATAACAGTTGATCAAGATTGGAAAGATCATACACCGAAGAAACAGAGTGGAGAGTGATGGGAGAAAACATTCAATCATGCTTCTGTTCAGCCCAAGACTTCAGAAGAAAGGAGTGATCTGGAAACAAAATCGACCGGTCCCTGTGATAGAGTACAGGAGGCATCTAAGATGTAAATATAATTATGATGACTACAAAGTTTCTAGAGAAGCAGGGGAACCTCTTGTGCAGGAAGAAAAGGAGAGAGTAGTCCATTGGACACCAAAATTTTCATTTGTCGAAATACTGAGTTGGAATAAAAAACTGTTTTGGAAAGTTGGACCAGCTAGCCCAGATGAGAAGCATACCAAAGATGAATGGAGGTAGCAATCATCAAATCCCATTAAGATGGTAAAAAAGGCCCAAAATATGCACATGTTTAACAAAGAAATGCATAAGAGGCACTAGCTAACTGAAGTGAAAGGCATGGAATGGAAAGACATGTCCATTGTGGACACAGAAAAGGAACTGAACACAGGTCAAATGGGAATATGAAGAAAAGCAACTGAAACATTGACTTTGGTAATCCACAGCCTGGGTGAGAGGTCCCAATGCAGACTGAGAAAGTCATCCAACTAGAATTGAGGAACCACAAGAAAGTGATTCTGAGATGAAAGTTTTATAATAGGGTGCCAATCTTTCATCTTCTTGGGAACAACTAAGAGATGGGAATAAAAACACTGAGTGGGGTGGGTGACAGATTCTATAGCCTGCACTCCCAACAAAGAGGTATCTACATCCTGAAAACAATAAAGGTGCAGAAGATAGAAAAAGAGGATAAGGAGAAAGAGGAGATGGAGTATGAAAATGAGAAAGAACTTGCACAACCTAAGGGTCTCTGGAGATGGGAGACAACAAGTTGCCTGAATTATAGCCCAGAATTGGCTAAAAAAATTCACCACTGAAAGCCCTGAAGGCCAGCTCTGCGGGAAGGGCAACAGCACACAGAAGTAATGGAATGAGAAACAGAAGGGTTCGTCTGATGTGTCAGAAGAGAAAGGAAAGCAGACTGGGGGGGGGGGGGTCTAATCGATTCCAACTGTTGAGAATCAAGAAACAGAAAACTGATCCAAAGCCCATAGAGGGTGAGGCATGTTAGCACCATCAGTTATCTGAGAGACAAAATGCTCTGCATGAACCCTAATATCCGGGGAAGGGGGGAACACAAAATCCTGAGAGAAGGGGTAACGTGTAAGAAAGAAGGAAGAGGATTATAACAAATCAGGGAAATAGATGAGACAGAAAACAGCTGAGATATCATATCTAAAAAAGCTGTATTAGGCCTAGTTGATTCTGCAGTAGGGGCATAGGAAGACACAGCAAACTCGGGTGGAGGAAAAATGCTGTCATATTCCTTGTTGACCCAAATAGGTTCTGCATGTTCAGGAGAAATACAGGCAACATCAGGAGAAGCAGGTTGACTCATATAACAATCAATCTCACGGTGGAGAAGAGCCAATAATTCCATACCCGAGTTATTTCCACCTGCTGCCTGTGTAAGTGTGTTGGTAGAAGGTATTACCTCCAAAGTGGTAAATTGGACTTCAAAATTCATTGTTAACAATGAATGATCAAACATCACAGTGTTAGAATAAAAAAAAATGAAAACTGGGAAAAATAAGTTATCTTGAAGTTTGAGAAGTTTTGTAAAATTGAAAAGAACAATTCCATTTCAGAATTAATTTTTAAAAAATGCACTAGGTTTAAAGTGAAGAGCACAATAAAAAATGTCTGGACATGAGCACTGTCAAATGAAAAGTGATAGTTCAGTGGAATAGAATAATGTCAGGAGGGTGTGTAGCACTCCTATTGGTGGAGGGTTGTCATATGATAATTTACATGGAAGATGCAGTTGAACCATGTTGACCGTAAGGTATGTGGGACCTCAAGACTTGTGGCATGCAAAAAAAATATTTGCATATAGAAGGCAGTGCTGAATGAAAATAGCTATTTATGTGAGAAAAGGTAATGTACTGTATCGGAAATCTTTCTTTACTAATCTTTTGACAGTCTTTGAAGAGACTACTGCTTAAGAATGCATTTGACAAGATGTCACATAAAAGGCTAGTTAAAAAACTTCTCTCTATTAATGTGGAGGATAGGCTGGGTCATTGGAGAGAAAATTGGCTGGATTGAAGAAAGTATAAGGTTGTTATAAATGGAGTTCAATCAAGCTGGGTTCATGTCACAAGGGGGTACCTCAGGGCTCAATCTTAAGACTTTTTCTCTTTTTAACTTACATCAATGACACAGATGAAGGAATGGTAAATAACTTATTTAAATTCACTTGTGATATTCAAGTTTTAGGTGTTGCTGGCTGTGAGGGATGCTGTTGCTTCACAAAAGGATTTGGATTATTTGGTGAGGTGGGTGAGTAAATGGTAGATGGCTTTTAATTATAATAAATGCAAGGTTATGCATGAGAGATATCACAATTTGAATTATAGGTAAAATTTTGATATCAATAACTTTAACAATGTTATGGAAGATAAAGATCTTGGTATTCTGGCTGATCAGTCTATTAAGCAATCCAAGCAAGGTGCTGTTGCCAGTAGAAGGGCAAACAGGATTTTAGGTTACATCTACTATCTACAAAAATATTGAATACAAGTCTAAAGAGGTTATAGTGTCATTGTATAGGTCACACTGGTTAGGCCACAATTGGAATACTGTGTTAGTCTTGGGCTCCTTACCTTAAAAAAGACAATGAATTGTTAAAAGGGTTCAGAGGAGGGCTACTATGATGATACCTGGGATGGAAAAGTTGTCATAAGTGGATAGGTTAAGATCTCTGAAATTGTTTTCTCTTGAAAAAAGAAGAGTAAAAGGGGATCTGATTTAGGTTTTTAAGATTGTTAAGGGAATTGATAGGGTTAATGCATCACCATTTTCCATATTCAGTGGTGACTATGGTCAGACTCTTGGACAAAATATAAATTTTGGCAGGGAGGAGTCATCTTCAGCTAAGACAGCTTTATTTTTCTAACAGGGTATTTGGTATTTGGAATGGGTTACCTTTATGTGTGGTAGATGTAATTAATTTAAGGGAGTTTCCGAAAAGGATTAATACATATTTGAATAATAACAGTTGGTTTTGAGGATTTTATTTTAGTTTAGTATAGTGAATAGGATGGCCTAGATGAACCAGCAGGTCCCTTGTTATCCTTAAAAGTTAGATTATATGTTGTTGTACATAAAAATAGATAAAATAATTTTCAGGTAAAAATCAGGCAATTGTTTGTTTAATATTCAAATTGGACTTACATGGAAAAAGACTATGTGGAGGAGGATATTTTAGTTTTAAGTTTTGTGAAAACAAATTGTGCATAAGTAAAATCAAAAGGTAATGACATTTGAAATACTAAATAGAATGAACAATACTGTTAAGAAAAGTAATAATAAAGAAATAGTTTAGTGTATCTTACTTAGGGAACACATAAACACTAGCTGTTGGCTTAAACTGTTGTCACAGAATTAATTTTCTTTCACAAATGTAACATCAGCATAACTTATCTGAATTCTGCTCAAACTATTCCTAATATGTACTTTGATCAATGCAAACCAATAAAGCCACTCCACAGTGTAATCTATGGAGTGGTATCTGTGACATATTTATAACAACATGTTACTGTTTAAATTGTGTCAAGTTCATAGCAGTAATAGTCCTATGGTGCATCCAAAAAACTAATGTTTATGAAAATACAGAGTAATTAAGTAAATAACATTTGTGCTGCTCATGTACATATATAGCAATGTTAAAAGCAATAGAAAGAACACAATATACTAAATATAATAAGTAGTATCTATAAAAACTTAACACTAACAAACATAGAGCTGGCTACAGGCAGTAATAGACAATGTTAAATCTTCCAAAACAAAATACAATAAGCCAATAGAAAGTTCAATGAAAATAATAAAACAAGGAAAGTTACAACACTCTTTACTATTGCAAGGTAAGCAATTATCAAAAGGCAATTAACTAAACTAATGATATATTGTCATACAATAAACAAAATTGTTTTATAGCTAATATTAACTACTAATAATAATAATAGCTTAAGTTAAAACTAATAGGAGGTAAGAACAGTGGTGGTCAATACACTGAGGCAGTTTACTATTCGTATTACCCTAGAAATATCCTAAAGATTTAAAGTATAGATGTGAAAGTTCTAAAATGGTAGTGAAACTGTGTAAAACTTATAAATCCATAATCTTAAAATGTGCAATTACAAACTTTGATTGTGAAAAATGAGAGTATGTATACGAGTTCTACCCACAAACTCTTGTAGTTGTAACTTTAAATGTGAATTGTAAGTTGTATTCGTAATGATGAACATCTATTCTATTCCTACTGATTATCTTACTCTTACCATTATCTTCTCAAAAGAAAATATGATTAAAAAAGCTTAAGATAACCATTCTAAAGTAGTAGTAATAGTAGTATCAACCCTCTGAACTTTTTCCATTCCAATAAGTCGATATACTTTTTATTAAAGAAACAAAAACTGCACATAGCAATAGTATTCTACGTAAGGCCTAACTACTGTTTTGTAATTGTAATAATTTTGTATACAGAACACAAGCTTAACGTTAGAATGAAAGTAAAAGAACATTTCTGTGCTAAAATCAAACTTTTAGAAACATTATAAAACGTCTTAATAGCTCACCCTGTGAAAACGAATAAACAATGTCTTTCTTAAGACTTAAGTAACGTCCCAAAAAGAAAGTCAGAAGTAATTCACGTACGAACGAGTTGAAATACAACAAATTGTAGAATAGTGGTTCATACTCATCATCACCACCCAGTTGAGTTTGACTCAGAGCTAAGTAAATGGATTTGCTTCCCGATCCTTAAAATATCAAAATTTGGTAACGCTGAAATTGTGAAAATAGTCAAGTTTGTGATAATGCTGTAGGTAAAAGGTGTATAAACTGTACTTATATCCTAAAATTTGTATAACTTCTAGCTTTAGTTTCTTGATGCTTTGTAACTTAGAAGTTACACTCAAGTTAGAGCGTATATTATTTGTGTGCAAGCCCACCGACAGGGGGGGGCAAATGCCCAGGGGCACGGGCGAATGAAACCTGGTTATACCGTAAAGCCCGCAAAGCATCTTTAGGTTATATCTTCATTTAATGATAAAAACCACAGTTTTTGGCTTTTCTTTGCATACATTAAGACGCTTGATACATTAAGAACGACTGAAATAATAATTTTAGTAATAATTAATATTTTTACGACAGCGGAAGTCACGTGATGCTGGGAGCATGCGCGCTGGAGTTTCTCGCAGGATCATGAATTTGCCCTGCAACTCTAGTCTGATAGAAATGCCCTCGTTTTTAATATATAAGCCTGGCGAGAAAAACCAGGGTGTTGGGAGATAGATAATTGAGTCACGCTAACAGTAGGCACCGTAAGTAATATGTGTAAATCGCTGTGATTTATCTGTGATTTATAGCGTGTGTTATAAAGTTTGTTGAGTTTAAAGAGACTGTGGAAATTCTGTGTATTACAAAAAGTTGTATCGAGAAAGAATAAACTGGTTTAAGCAAGAAAGGACTGAAGTTCCTCAGAAAGAATTTCTACCGGAAATTATCAAACAAGCAGATAAGTAACAAATTGGTGTCAGAGAGTAGGACCGAAAAAAAAAGAAGAAGAAGATGGAAATGAAAAGTGGCAAATCAAACCACGACTTAGCAGATTTGAAGGCAGCAATACAAGAACAGTAAAGGAAACAAAAAGAACTAAAAAATAAGAAAAAAAGAGATTACAGTAGTGGTTGCAGGAAAAGAAAAGAAACAAGAAGAACGAGAAAAGCAATGTTATGTCTCTGTTTGTTTGTTAATTTCCCATAAAAATTCTTTCTGAAAACTTCAGCGATACAAGTCCTTTCTTAAATACAACTAGTTTATTCTTTCTCAATACAACTTTGCAATACACAGAATTTCCACCGTCACTTTAACTTAAACACACGCTATAATTCAAAATAATTCACGCACTTTTCTTACAATTACTACCACTCACTTGACTCAATTATCTGTCAATCTGCAGTTATATCTCCACTTTATTTGCCGGGCTTATATACAAAAATAGAGGGCGTCTGGCAAACACTATATTTGCCAGGAACAGTCATGATCCTTTTAGAAACTCATGACGTGTTACCAAAGTCACGTGACTTCCGCTGTCGTAACACTACCCCTTCCTTAGTATTGTTCGTCTCGAACAATAGCCACTTACAATCACCCAATAGATAATTAACAATAACTTGATTAAATGTACAGAATTTACAAACACAAAATTAAAATACAACAAAGTCTCCTAATTTTACAGAACGTATTTTCTTCTGTACTGGCCTCCGTCTCGTTAGCTCCATTAGGAAATGTCCTATTATCGGTAACAGTCACATCAGTGGTAGTAACTTCGTCAAGGGCTTCACTGTTTCCCTTCTCTAAACAGTGGCTTTTTCAGGTGACACGTCTTCAGCAGCATCATTTGTTCTGTTGTTCACTTCCAACTGAAAGGTCCTGGACTGTGATAACGCCAAAGCCTGTTGGCATGCACCAGCTTTGGCTTACCTCGCCGACCACATTTTATTCGGAAAGTCACCTCACGTCAGAGAGAGGATCCACTATGTCATATGGGCCTTCCCATGGAGAAGACAACTTAGGAGACTTCCCTTTTGGTCTTCCTGGTATTGTTCAACCACACCTTGTCACCTGGTACAAAGCTGACTTCTTTAGATCTCTCATCATAACATAGCTTCATGGAATCAGCAGACGTTTTTAAGTTTGGACGCACTTGATGGTGAATATCATCCATTCTTTCAGATAACACTTTCACGAACTCTGACACATTTTCAGGACATCTTCATAAGGTGGGCGTCCTGTTATCAGGTCCAATGGCAACCGAAGTTCCCGACCAAACATCAGCTGTGCTGGATTGTATCCAGTGGCTTCATGCCCTGCTGTTCTATTGGCCATAACAGGAGAGGGAGTAAGACATACCAGTCATCTTGGTGGCTATTACAAAACTTTGCCAGTTCCTGTCCACGTGTCCAATTGTACTTTTCTACCATTCCATCAGGCTGTGGGTGAAGTGGCGTTGTCCTGGTCTTTCGTATGCTAAACAACTTGCAGCATTCATGGAACACAACTGATTCGAAGTTACGGCCTTGATCTGAATGCAGTACATATGGCATACCAAATCTGAAGAAGAAATCACTAATAGCTGCAGCAACAGTTGTAGCTTCCTGATTTGGTATTGCATATGCCTCAGGCCACTTGATGAAATAATCCATCACCACACAAATGTACCTGTTTCCAGTACGAGTTTGGGGCAAAGGACCAGCAATGTCAATGGCTACTCTTTCCATTGGTGCACTAACCTGATATAACTTCATTGGAGCACATCCCTTATGCTTGGGCCCCATTTTAGCACAACATGTACTGCACGTCCTGCACCATTCTTCCACATCTTGCCTCATACCTATCCAGTAAAATCTCTGCCGTAGGCAACTCAATGTCTTCTTAACTCCAAGATGTCCTCCTGTTAAACTATCATGGGATTGATGCAGCACAACTTCCCATAACTTTCTTGATATAACTGTTTGCCAGATCGTTACTTTCCCAGCTGCAGTCTCCCATCACCGGACAAGACTACCATCTTCAAGTTTCAACTGGTCCTATTGTGCCCAATAGTTCTTTGTCACAGGGCTTAAGCTAGACACCTTCTCCCAAGCAGGGTGCAAAACACTTGCTTGTAGAAAATCAATTATTGGCTTCAAATATTGGTCTTTCTCCTGTTCAGCTTTAATATCTGTACTTGGTTCCACTTCACCCTCATCAACTCCTTCAGTCACTTGGACTTCAGCTCGATGGCACCTGGTTAGTTCAACCTCTCTCTTTTGCAGCAATGTCTGCTCTCATTTCTGCAGGGTCTTTGGCTCAGTCCATCGGTATTTCCATGAGATTTTCCTTCTCTGTATTCAATATCATAATTGTACTGATCTATCTTTCCGATTCAACGTGCCAGTTCTTTAATGATCTTAACCAGCATAATGCAGCATGGTCTGTCCTGATGGTAAACTTTGCACCAGAGAGGTAAGGATGGAAATATGTCAGACTCTTTACTATAGCAAGGAGTTCACTCCATATTACACAGTAGTTCCTCTCTGGTCTACTTTGGACCCTATTGAAGTAGGCCACCATATGTTCGTTTTCGCCCACTTTCTGAAACAACACTCCTCCAATTCCGACATTACTAGCATCACAATCCAGTATGTATGGCAGTGAGGGATTTGGAAGCTATAAAATTGGAGCTGAGGCCAATTTTTCTTCAAATGTCTTGGAAACATCCTGACAAAAAAACTGGCCTTTTTTGGTCAAATCATGTAGTGGAGCAGTTATAGCGGCAAAGTCCTTCACAAAATTCTGGTAATAGGTACAGAGTCCCAAGAAACTTCTTAACTCTCCCACATTATCTGGTGTTGGCCAATCATGCACTGCTTTCACCTTGTCAGGATCAGTTCGTACACCATGCTCGCTTACAATGTGACCCAAGTAAAGCAGCTGTTTCCAGAACAAGTGATATTTCTTGGGATGGAGTTTGAGGTTTGCTGCTTTCACATAAATGAATTACCGAACAAATCAATTTCCTGCATTTAATTGCAATAAATCGTATTTTTTACTTTACTTTATAGCAATGACAGGTATAGTAAAAACCTAATTACCCTTTCGAGCATGCTTCGTGTGATGTTTGGTACGAAGCAGAATTTTAGGATGTCCCAAAACATTGGATATGCTATTTCTGGAGCCCTATCTTTAATTTCCGAATAAATTTAAATAAATATAAATATAAATGTTACGAAATAAGCATGTAGCTAAATGAGATGGTAAATACCACAACGCTAAAAAAAATAGAAAAATAATTATGATATATGTTATAACTTAAGAACGAGACCACGTAGTTGGAGAATAAGGAGTGAAGGCTAGAGCTTAAGTACCATACCGTGGTTGAAGAATAAGGAGTGAAGGCTGGAGCTTATGTACCATACCGTGGTTGAAGAATAAGGAGTGAAGGCGGGACCTTAAGTACCATACCGTGGTTGAAGAATAAGGAGTGAAGGCGGGACCTTAAGTACCATACCGTGGTTGAAGAATAAGGAGTGAAGGCACTAAATAGAGCAGGTTATCTTGCTTAATTCGAATGATAAGTTCAAATGGAAAGATTTTCTATTTGCTCTCCAGTCTGTATAGTTTTGCATAAATTAATGAATAATAGGCTTAGCGTTTGGACTGCGCTCCCCTCCCACCTTACCCTAGCTACAGCTCTGCACGCACAATTCAACTCAGGTTGGAATTTTTATATCCACAAAGTTTCTTCCAATTTTTTTGTTCTTAATTTGATGCACTTCCAAAATATTGT